CCATTTCAAACTTTTAATTAAAGACCCTTTCTGATCTTTACTTTAATGTGATATAAAAAGATGATTTTACTTATTCTGCATGCCAAAAAAAATAAGCAGAAAGAAACAGGACTAATCTGAGTAGTTTATAACGGTTTATTTACAGGAGACACAGTAGTTGAGAAAACAATTATGTTCAGCCTATATATATAAAAAGCACCTTCATTAATGCAAAAGTCATACGAATTAAGTTTAAATGTGATTTTTTTTGTTCAGGCAGTAAAAATAATATTTCACAGAATGCTGTGGTCACAAAAAGACATTTTCAAGTCTTAATGACCCAGGTACTGAGATTTTCTCATATAGCTTGTACTAAACCCTATGCTAATGTCATAAATCCTATGACAAAAACTGCTCTTAAACCTTGCTGGCAGATCAGTTTTTCTTGTTTTCTGGATGTGGCAACCGATCTTAACCTTACTGAAGCTAAGCATTTCCAAAATTCATTTTCGTGAAAGGCCATCAGCCTTCAGAGAGGCACTTCTCCCACTCCTCAGCTTCCCATGCTGGGAAGGTTTCCTTCTCCTCTTCCTTGACTCCCTGTCTCTGGGAATGTCCCCCACAGGAAGAGAGCTCCAGTCAAAGAAGCAGGACTTCTAATTCCAGGAAAACTGAGGCATTTCCAGTGACTGTGTGGCCTATTAGTCTGCCACACCCCATACTGTAGGTCACACGGTGCCTTTCAAGGAACAGAATTCAGGATGCACTGCTCCTAGATCTCATTCTGGAATGCAATGAATGTATAAGGAAATCATACTAGAAACTTCTTAATACTGTATAGAAGGAGACAGGATACACATCATATCAGGCCAGTTACTATGCAACTGCTTTTTTTAATAATAAGTATTACGATTTGAACACTGTGCCAATTCATAATACTCTAATGCTAAAACAGGACACAAATTCAATTAAACATTACATCAAAGTCAACCATATTCCACAGGGTTGGCAAGCCCTCTTCCTAGAATGCCAGAATTCTGCTGTTTATGTAGCTCTTGCTAAATATTCAATACCTACATAGTGGAACTAATGATAAACATAACCAATTAAGTCCAATAATTGAACTCAATTGCTGAGGGCTTAGATGAAACAGGATGATAGGCCAGGGTTGATTCTTTTCTGTGTAAATGCATGAGGGACTCAGCAGTAAGCTGTTATTTTTTTATAAATACTAAGACACTGCCGAGGAACACAATAACTAGCCTTTAAAAATCCTACATTTCCTTGAGAACACAACAGCAATTACCACACTGCACTCCGCATAGCTAACAACAGGGGAACAACATCAAGAGTAAACAAATTACAACCCAAATAAACCTTTAATTACAATTTCACTCAGACTTAATTGCAGTACTCCTCTTTCAAAGCAAGATTAACCATACAAAGCCTGCACCTACTGAATTATAAAGGGACAAAAAGAAGCCTGCTTATTTAGCACAGATGCAGTACTTAAATACTTTTTTGATAGTCTTAAACTTTCAGCATCAAATTAAACAAGTTCAAAATACTCAAAAAAACATATGGAACAGGGCAAAAGCTATGCCTATTTTAATAACATGAGTCATGTTTCAAAATATTTTTTGCAAATAAACAGGATTCACATTCAAACCATCAAATCAGAAACCCTTTAATTACCGCTTAAAGGTTTTTTGAGTCTCATACAAAATCAGTACATCTTACACAAAGTTTGCCATTACTTATTTTGTCAAAACAAGATCCACAAGAAACTGTTTCCTGTGAGGGCCAAGCATCCTTTGTTTGAAAACAAGAATAAAAGAATGGCTGCACACGAAAGAAAGCCATTCCACTCATCTGGCCTGTTTGTCAGCATCTAATTGATCCCAGGATCTCAGCTGTTTAATGCAAGAAGGCAGGGCATCTGCTTCAACAACCGACTGGACAGTGTGTTGCATACTCCTACCACCCTTGGCGTAAAGAAGTGTCTTCTGTCTCAGTTTTTAAAGGACTTCCACATAGTTTCCACTTCTGTCTTCTGGTTCACATTTCGCTGTTTATTCTAAAGACATGGAGTTTGTCAATGCCTTTCAGGATAATGGATACTTGAATACTGTATCAGGCCCCCTCATCGTCTGCTCTGTATAGGTCTAAAAAGATTCAGTTTTTCAACTTGCAGGCTGTTTCAAATGGGACACAAACAGCTGGTATCAGTCAGCCAATAGCTGTATCAGCTCTTTTTTTCCAGAAATGTTTAACACAAGCTACACCCTACCAACCAATCAGGATGTCTAACAGCACACAGCAGGTGAGACCAACATCATAAACGAAGAGAGATTCATTTTTTTATTAAATGCATCCCACAAATGCTTGTGCAATATTCTTTTATAGTAAAACCAAAAGGCTAAGGCTGAATGCATCCTTGTCAACACAAGCAACAGAGTCAACAGCCTTTTCCATGGAAAGAACTGAAATATTTAGGAGCCACAGTAGATCCGTATTTCATGCACATGTATTTTTAAGAGATGAGCAAAACAATCTGGATTTAGTTACAGAGACAGGCGTCAGTTGGGTTCCCTCAAAACCACAAATGATGCCCCTGTTACGGAACCTCGTCTAAGTTTTTCAAAACCAACAAAACAATGCAGTAATTCTCGAGAAGCCTTTAACTTCATTGCTGAAACCATAAAAACCCTAGGGTAGCACACTACTATAATAAGAGCAAGAACAGAATCTCCTGTGCCCTATATCCTCAGCTCCTGTAAAAGGCAAACTTGTAACCTACTTACTGCTGCCTAGACTCTGTCCCTAGACTCCCCAGAACTCTAAAACTGCATTCCATCACGATTTGGAACCATAATACACCCATTCACGTGCAATGGGTAGCACTTTAAGATCACTGCTCTGATGTATTAGATAACAAAGTTTAATATTCCCCTCTGGATTGCTTTTGAACTTAATGTGAAGAATATTGCAAAGATAAAGATTTTCCATTCAAATATATATTGCTGTGACCATGCCCTCTGTGTCTGTAGAAGAAAAACAAATGAATAGGTCTGTTGGCAAAGTGTTTTAAAGATAATTACTTTATATGAAACAAACTTATTACTAAACACAATTCATTTCTGTTACTTACCTTAATCCCTTTAATTTTTAAAAACTGTATAGCACATAAGGGATCAGTGAACAGTGTTTGTACAAAAGCAACACTGAAGGTGGAGATTTGCTTTATAGTATGTCAACTGAACAATCTGTGATAAAGTTATCTGCATTCAAGGCAAAACTCTTCACACATTCTATACCTAATTCTGTTTTGGTCATTTTGTCCAAATCTACAGGTGTGAGATCTACAGCCGGACCATCTGGAATGAGGTCAAGAGGTCTTGAAGGAACGGATTACTCTCACACCTAGTGTTTTCAAGTTTTTACATAATGGGTGTGATACTGAGCTATCCGTGCTGCTTACAACTAATTGGTGCATTGAAGTTAAAACCATGACTAATATTCTAAAGCACTGCATGCACTTTTGCGTAAAGGCTGTGTAACTCAAATTTATTATTTATGTGAATTTATTAGAATCTAAAGATGCAAGGAAACAAATCCCAATTGCATTTCCAGCTGAAGAAAAAGACTTAGGTGACATCATTTACATATAATAATTACATATTGTAACTATATCATTTGCATCTTCTTGATAATGTGGGGTAGAAATAAAAAGCAAAGATTGTTAGGATATATTAATAAAAGTGAAAATTTTAAATCATGTAACTCCTTTAAAATTCTGTAACACACCACAATGACCTCATTTGGAATACTGGGTAGAATTCTACCCATCATACTACAGAAAAGCTCTGGAATCGGTCGACTATGTGGGTGTGACCAGAGTCCAGGCTTTTAGTCGTAAAAAATTCAACATGTTTGGTCCAATAAGGCTACAAATGGACCCAATTTAAACATTCAAAACACTCAAAGGCATGTCCTATGTTACCTCTAGAGATGTCTTCAGAATCATCAGGAAAAGACAAGTGGAAACCATAAGTATATATAAAACTGACAATTGGAGGCATTTTATACACATAGGATAGTGAGAGTCTGGAACAAGATACCTGACTGTTTAGTTGAAGCCAATACTCTGGTTTCCTACAAGAAACAGCTGGAGAAAATCCTTAGATCAATTCGCAACCAAAAAGACAGACAAGCTGATTGGCTTCATGTAGTTTGTAACCCTTATTATTGCTCTTATAGTTAATATCAATCCCCCACAAATTTGTACAAATACACAAAATCTAAACAGTTACATCAAAAAGCTTTTTTTTACCACAAAGCTATTTTTGTTTTGTTTACAAAAATCGTCCTATGTACAAAGACCAGGATATAATAAAATTCAATGCCGGGTACCAGTATTTCCCACAAATAGAATACATCATTGTTTAGGCCCATTCATGCAATGAGCACTGCAAAGTTTAATTAGGTTGCCATGCCAACAAGTAACCCCTAAGAAAAGCCTGCTGTCTACATAACACTGTCATTCCTAGGCAAAGCTTTTGCTGCAGATAAAAATAGATATTCTTGTTGTGCAGCTTAAGTCTTAGAAATGTTGTGGCCTGATATCATCATATATAATTATGTAAAAAAGATAGCCCAGAAAACAATATTGAGAGAATGATTCATTTGAGCATTATACAATATTTATTTTTCTTAACCTGCAGAATAAAAAAAAAGTTATTTTTGCCAGACCACAAACAAGCACAAAATGAAACCAAATTTCATGTAAAAAAAAAAAATCACAAACCATGCAAAATTAAAAAAATGTTAAAGCTATGTTAAAGCTAGCAGCTTTGACAATAAGACCACGATGCAACGCAACATAAAGGAGAAAGCAGGACATGGTCACCATGCAAGGCCTGAACTAGGCACTCTTTCCAAAGTTAAGGTTTCCAGACAATATTGGTTTCTTTTAGGTCAGTGAAAAGCGTCAGGGTTCTGCAGATTAAACATGAACTTACCGACACATCAAACACTTCCGCTGTGTCATCCAGCATTTGGACTTTGATGGAGACGTGTCTCCCTGGGGGCATGGCGGGTGGCCTCAGCCCGGGCTCTAGGGTGCTGATGCCCACACTCTCTTGGGTCCCCAGTCGCTGGCCTGCATTCAGCCTCGGCTCTGCCTCACCCATCTTCACAGTCCCGGCAGCCTCTGCGCTCTCTGCATTCACAAAGACAGCGAAATAAGGCTAGAGACGCAATCCAGCACCACCAGGCTCACAAAAACCTTTGGGAATGGGTCATGACCAATCTATAGATGAGAAAGAGAGACGTCATGGACAATTTAGCCAAATTGCCTAAATAATAAGCAATCAGTCTAGGATGGATCTTAAGTCTCAGCATATTTATAATTCCTTTCTCAAATGCAATGTATTTAAAACAGTGAATTTGTAGACATTAATCTCTTCAATGAACACATGTAGCCTCCTCTTTACTTAGAACCTAGTGTTAATATTTAAAGTTTGAGTCATTATGTTTATTGAATAAACTGTAGGTTTTTTTTTTTAATTTTTTCACATTTTGAAGTTTTAACCATTTTTTTTACACTCTGGGTTTTATGTGTAAGTCCATTAATAAGTGCTTCATCAGTATAAAAAAAATTGAAATTAACTGGTTTCAATGCTGCTCAGTTTCACGTTTGTAAAAATGAGTACGAATCACTTTCTGTCATTATTTTAAGCGGCCTCTGTATTTTTTGCATTAGTGGACTGCATTATTTTGTTGCTCTTTGTCCTTCACTGAACAGTAAAGGTTCGCATGAAACCGATCAAAATGGCACACTGAGAAAAATGCCTGGATACATTGCCTTTGTTCTGTACAACTCTGATTATTTGCAAAAAAGCAATGCAATTTTATTCTAAACATTTTATTAAAAAACATTTTCACTTTCACCAAAGAAGGAATACATCTAAGCAGTTTTAAAAAATCTTAAAAGAAAATGTGATGCAACTGTTAAATACTAAGTGTTTGAACAAAGGTATTTATGAGGTAGAAGGACAACTATAATACTTAATATTTAAGACGAATATTTTGTTCGCAGAAAAAATATTTTTTGCATTTGTCACTGTTTAATAGAGCTGTTAGGAGATATTTAAATGATTATTTATGAAATGACTGCTATTAATGGCCTGTTTACTGAAGTTAAAGAGTCAATACCTAGCTAATAATTAAGGTAAAGAGGACAGAATTAACAGAAGAGGAACACTTCTGTTGGCACCTGTAGAAACAATTATGTGCAGTACTGACAACCGAAAAAACCTGGCCTTTGAAATAAGACAAGGACGTTTGGAGAACAGAAAGCCAAAACAGCAACTTGGCAGGTACTAAAAGAGTTTGTGCCAGGAAGCGAAGTAGTGAAAATTTTCAGGTTAAAATTAAAGCTCAGTGGAGGCTTCACTATGATTTCCTATTCTCCAACCACAGGGAAAATATTTATAATACTGCAGCTTCACATCACTGTCACAAAATGACAATCATTTCCATTCATGCCTAACTTAGATGTGAAACCCTAATCTGAACAATCATGTTCCCTTTCAGATACCAACATAATTAAAAAATTACCAATGGGATTTCATTGTGTAATGTTCAGGGAAATGTCAAACCATGTCTTATCCATTGTAGAGCAAGCAAAAACTGAAAGGAATGAATGACACTGAAACTGTGTTTCTCAAGAAGCCATTGATTCCCAATCAAATAAGCAAGATGGCCTGAATGGCTTCCTGTCAGTTTTTAACCTTTCTTATGTTCTTATCAGGTCCAAAGAAGGACTGTAGAGCTTGATGTCCTTCACCAAGTTAAGGGTCAATGAACCACCAAAGCATTCTTCTCTTAGTTTACATTGAGGAATTTACATGTTTGTTTTGCTTCTGGAATTCATGCTGAATGCTTGAGACTTGAGAGACTCAATTCCTCAAGCATCCAACAGACAGCATCAGAAATCAGACCTAAAAACAAAACCAGGATTTGTCATTAATTGTAGATTATCTTTCAAAAATCTCTGGCCTTAGAAACACAAGTAAGCAAATGCAGCTCAGGAATGGCAGTGCTCAGCTCCTGGGGGTATTCTGAGAGGCAACAGTGCACTACTTTGTCTGTAGACATTCCTCTAGAGTGATGTCATTCCAGAGTACTGTATCTCAGGATTTGACCAGTTGAAGAACAAACACCTTTCACAACAACTAGTCACACTTCTAACTCTGAGCAAACATACCAGCTGCCAGAGAACATGAAACACGCACTTCAAACGATTTTCCCTGACTTGTAGCAACGATGAACATTTGAAGTCTTCTTTCAGCTTGAATGTTGTTGAAAACCCTCATGGTTTCATTATTGCCTCAACACAGACTTCAATCTGATAAGGTTTTTACAGTCCACTGAGATATAATTAACCCTGTACTGAAAGACATGTAGCCTACTAATCATTGAAAATGAAGTGAGGTCTCTTTGACCATACCGTATACTTTAATGTACCTTTTTTAAAATTTACTGCCCCTTACTGTAGGTGCATTTAATATTGCACCATACCAACATTACACAAATGGGGTGTATTTTGATGCAGCATGCCTCTATTGTCACTTAGGGTAAATGAGATCCCACCTCACAACTAGTGTGCCATGCCTGTATCTCCACAAACAACATAAGAAAGGCTACAATGGAGGACAGGCTTTCGTTCCATCTGGCTTGGTTGATTACTAGTAGCCTGATCCCAGAATCATATCCCACTCTTTTGGGAAATAAACCAGGAACGTTTCAGTTTCAACAACACAAGCTTATTCCAGACACCTACATCTCTCTGTGTAAAGACGTACCTCCTGTTTTCAGGTACTGGTATTCTTCCCATCGTGATCATTCAGTATTGCGAAGGAGCGAATAGGAAGGGACACTGTATGAGGACACCGTACCAGATGTAACTAATCATTTTGCCAGGCAGTGATTCTTCAATATGTGTGCCAATGTAGATTAATTTACTAAACACAAAAATGACCCTCAGACCTAAAAGGAATATTCATGACCAAAAGGCCCACAGCACTTTTTCTTTAAGCAACCAGAGATCGTATGTATTAGTTTTTCTCTGATGTTGTGAAAACTCTGATGTTAACATCTGGGTCTTTTCATTTCCTACTTTATTTTTCTATCTGCTACATTAAAAGATGCAAATGTGGAAAAATTCACAGTGTAAGATGAGGTATTTCCCAATCGTTTGCAAACCACACAATAATCTTAGCTGTATTTCTACTTCATTATAGTTTCAATCTTTAAAATAAAGAAAATAGAAAACAAGAGTCATAGACACCCCATATACAGTACATATGACTGGAGACTCTATATGTACTCAATACACTTTATGATAGAACGTTACATGAGGAGAGACAGACAAGATGTTTGTTGTGAATTCGGCAGATACTCTTAGCAGTATTCTTAAACCACATAATTGAAAACGATACTGCTCACAAAGAGAGAGGATGCTCTTTGTTATGGCATGAGACAATGCCAGGAACTCCACACATCACTATAATAAACCCCTGCTTTACACAGTTGCAAACACTGGGCTTGGCAGCATGTGTTGTGTGATACAGATAAAATCCATATCAACACATTTCTGTAAAGAAAAACAGAGGAGTGAATGTAAGACCACCAAGGCTCAGCCTGATGAGCACTGGCATAGATAATCTCCAAGGAAAACCAGTAGGAGCAAAAGGTAGCTTTCTTTCAACAGGATCATGCTTTCAAGGATCTGTAGGAGCAACTACTTGATCATTAAAGGTCCAACGTCACTGCTCGTAAGGTTAGGGATATCAATTCGGTTTTCCTGCCTGAATTTTACTGTAAGTTCGTGCAGCATCTGGCCAAACTAAAGTTCCCCCTTTATTTAATTGGTGAAGTAAGTTCTCACTTTTCTGCCTGAAAGCTGTACACCTAGGTTGCTGGTACAGAATGGCTACCACACTATCCTATTATTATTATGTTGATGCATCGATTATTAATGATAATAATGATTATTACTTATAAGGATGATGTGTATCAAAGCCAAAGGACAAATCTCCTTACACTGTTCATAGTTAATGGAAGAAACAGTTCAAAGAACACTCTGTTTTATAAATTATCTTGTGATGCATTGGTTTCTACTGTGCTGCATTTTCCATTTATATTTCAGATACTACTTTAAGTACTTAAAGAGAAGGATTTTGCTTTTATCATAATTTTTCCTCTAAATATTATAGCGAAGACCGCTGAAACCAAACTTAAAAAAATTGTCTCCCTAGAAAATACTCCTGCCTCTAACCAAAGAATTTATCACTCTCCAATGACTGTATTGTAGATTCTTGCTTAAGAAAGTCGATTTATAAAACAATTAGCTTCTATTGAAGCAGTCTTGTCCTTCTTATTTGATGAAATTGTAAATTGAAAGCAGTTTTGTGTCAACCTAGTCAAGGATTAGGATCAAGTGACATAAAAAAAAAACTCATCAGTACGCTTGCAAAATCCCTCTGTTAAACAGTCCTGCTCCAATTTCTCTGCAGTGGAAGAAATGAAAGCCATTCTATGAGGTATTCCCTGAACAACAGACGCCGAGACATTAACGCCTGCTGTTAGGGAAGTGATAAATGAAATTAAAATTGTTTTCATATTATATAATTGCATATTCTTCCAGATGTAGAATTATAATCATTTAAAGTGAAGAAACACTGTAATTAATCCTTATGAAACAAATTACACATAACACACATTATGAACTTCCTCTTTCATTCAAAAAATATAAAAAGCATAGCAGCTCGTTCTCCTGAGTACCAAGACAAAACATCTCCACACAACAAAAGGAGTAAAGAAATGACTGTTGAATTTCTACATAAAACACAAAAATTTCTACACAAATGATTGTTGAATCACTCAATGCCCAGATATCAAAATCAACAACATTCAACTTTCTGATTTACATTGCATTAATATAAATTTATTACTCACAAAATTATAATGAACAGTCCAGTCCCACAAAACTACTCAGGATTCTCTTTTTGTCTTCCCTTTAACTGTTCTTGAGTTTGAATGAGTAGCTTAACACAAGGACAATGTTTATTAAGGAGAAGAGGTATCCATCTTTCTTCTACAGTAGTGTTTCGCACTAGCAGCCCTTCATGGATTCGCTCACAGAACCCTCAAAAG